CAGGAGGCTGGGAGTTCTAGTCCCACCTTAGGCGTGAAAGCCAGCTGGGTGACTGTGGGCCAATCACCAGGAGACGGGGAGTTCTAGCCCCGCCTTAGCCATGAAAGCTGCCCAGGTGAGTTTGGGCCATGAAGAAAGCACACAATCTTGGTGTGTGCCTTGGGATGGCGTGTGATCTATCGGGTGCCCCTGTATTTTCCAGCTCAGCCTGAGCAACCCCGTACCTCAGGATGGGTTCTGTAGCCACGTCGGTGCCCAGGTGGTGGGGCTTGGGCAAATCCGAGAGGTAATGCAAGTTGTGTGCTTGGAAGAGGCGCACGGTTCCGTTAGCACAGCCACAGAAAATGAATTCTTCGCTGACACAAATGCAATTGGCCAGCGTCACCTGGAGGGGAGGAGAGAAACACGCCCTGAGGGCCATCCCAAAGGAGCGAGCGCCCGTCGCGTAGAAGCCAGAACGGCCCACTTGCCTTCAGATCGATCCATTTCTCCAGGATGCGCTTCTCATTGAAGAGGCAGAGCAGCCCCGAGTGCGAAATGCAGAAGGTGCTGCCAGCCATTTTGCCCTGGCCACACGCCACGTCACAGAAGGTATTGTTGTGGAGCTCCCCGAGGAGTCCGGAGCGACCCACCAGTGGAACCGTCTCCTTGATCTGGAAGAGGCAGGGAACGTTGCTGTCTAGGCAGGCAGTCCTCGACTTACAACCACTCCAACTTACAACGGTACTGGAAAAAAGGGACTTAGGGACCTTTTTCAGTTATGGCCACTGCAGCATCCCCCACGGTCACGTGATCAAAATTCAGCCACTTGACAACTGGCTCATATTTATGGCCATTGCTGTGTCCCAGGGGCACGAGAGTCCCTTTTGTGACATTCTCACAAGCAAAGTCAATGGGGAAGCCAAATTCACTTAACAACCAGGCTGCTGATTGAACAACTGCAGTGATTCACTTAACAACTGTCAAGAAAGGTCATAAAATGGAATAAAACTCATTTAACGAAAGTGTCACTTTCCAACAGAATTTTTGTGGTTGCATGTTGAAGACTACCTGTACCAGGGATGGGCAACCATGGCTCCTTTATGGCCTGTGGACTTCAATTCCCAGAATTCCTGGGAGTTGGACTTCAAGTCCTGAACGTCTATGGTGGCTGGCTCGGGAATTGTGGGAGTTGAAGTCCACAGGTTGTAAAAGGAACAGAGTTGCCCACTCCAACCTATGCTGTGTATTGAACAGGTTTGTTTCTTTAATGGATTTTTAAGGTCTCCTGTTTATGGAGGCCTCTGAGCAGCTTAGGTGAGACAAAAGTTATAATTTTTTTAAACAACTGAAATAAAACACATAGATTGGAAACATGAAGAAGACTATATCCTGCAGTGGATAGACAATGCTAAAATAATGAATAGATAGAAAGATAGACAGACAGACAGACAGACAGACAGACAGGCGGACATGGGACACCATGGCTGCTGCTTAGTGGGACCATGAATAAATCAAAGATTTTTAAGGCAGTTCTTTAAAGTTTCTTCCTAAAGGCCATCATGGTCATCAAGCTGGCTGGGGGATTCTGGGAGTTGAAGGCCACAGGTCTTAAAAGTTGCCAAGGTTGGACAGGATACCTGGCATAAGGTACAGGCTTACCTTAATTTCTCTGGCGCCATCCAAAAACCAGAACTTGACATGGCGGTGCCCGACTGTCACAAAATAGCTGTCCTCTGAGATGGAGAGGGCCATAACTTTGCAAGAGACTTTGTTGGAAGCGATGAGTGTATCGCTCTGTGGGGAATAAACACCACCCAGCAATGGTGGTAAGATGTGCACAGGACAGAAATACACCCTTGACTTGCAACCGTGCGTTTAAACGACATTTCAGAGTTACAAGGGCGCTGGAAAAAAGTGACTTATGACCGTTTTTCACGTTTACGGCCATTGCAAAGTCCCCATAGTCTCATGATCAAAATTTAGATGCTTGGAGTAGCTGTATCCTGAAAACAAGAGTTTGTCGATCTGGGTGGGTGGCTACGTCATGCTAGCTGGGGCTTGTTTTAACTACGATTGAGTGACCAAGCCATAACATCAGGGTTCTCTTAACATGCCAAACCAAAGCCCAACCTGTCATAATCAAGGAGAGAAGCAACTCAGAACTAAAGACAAATTTCCTGACCGTGTGAACAATTAACCAGTGGAACCACTGGCCTCCAGAAGCTGTGAATGCTCCAACACTGGAAGGTTTTAAAACGAGGTTGGATAACCATTTGTCTAAAGCAGAGGTGGTCTTCCGTCGGTTCTGACCAGTTCGGGAGAACCGGCAGCAGAAATTTCGAGTAGTTCGGAGAACCGGCAAATCCCACCTTTGACTGGAGATTTTACAGTCTCCTTCCCCTGCCACGCCCACTGAGCCCCACCCACAGAACCGGTAGTAAAAGAATTTGAATCCCACCACTGGTCTGAAGTGTTTCCTGCCTGCAGGGGGTTGGACTGGAAGACCTCCAAGGTCGCTTCCAACTATTCCATTCCATTCTATTCTATTCTGTTCTAGTCTATTCTGTTCTATTCTATTCTATATTCTATTCTATTCCATTCTATTCTATATTCTACTCTATTGTCTCATATTCTATTCTATTCCACTCCACTCCACTCCACCTATCAGGATCTTCAGGATGTGAGAACCGCATCGAAGTTCTCCCGTTCGATTTGTTCCACCCGGATCCTCCCGCTGTAGAATCCGTGCGTGGCCTCCCACGGAAGAGACTTGGGGTTCCAGACCCTTGTGCGCGTGGCCTCCCTGTGGGCCCTGCGGGGGAGTTTCTTACCTTCCAATCCCACACGTTCACTTTCATGTCGTGAGGATACCCGACCGACACAAGGTATTTCATGCTGGGAGAGAAGGCCACGCAGGCCACACCGTGCTTGTGGCCATGAAGTTCGGACACTTGGGACCCCTCCTCTACATCCCAGACTCGGACGGCTGGCTGATGCCCATTCTGCAGGCAGAAAACCCAGTTCAGAGAGCCAGTTTGGTTGACCGGTTAAGGCGCAGGCTAGAAAGCGGGAAATGGTGAGTTCTAGTCCTGCCTTAGCCAGGGAAGTTGGCTGGGTGACTTTAAGCCAGTCCTTCTCTCCTCGGCCCACTCACCTCGCAGGGTGGTTGTTGTGGGGAAAATAGGAGGCGGAAGGCATATTCAGTATGTTCGCCACCTTGACTTATTTGTAAGAATAATAAAGGCAGGATGCCAATAAACGAATAAAAGAATTAGAACAGGCCTTCATGTGAGCAGCAGTCAACTCAACTGAGAAGCTGCCTTAAAGGCTACACAAAGTCCCGTTTTCACATTATCCAGAAAGAAAGAAGCAAAAATAAATAAAAATAAAATAGAAATTCTTCTCCTTGAAAGAAGAAACACAAAAGAAACGTATTAAATGTAATTTAGATCAGTTCCATGCTTCTCCACGCTCCCCCCGCCTCTCTCTCTCTGGTCGACTCCCTTCCATAAAGGGCTCCTTGTCTAGCCTTTTGCTCTTCAGCTTCTCTTAACCCGCTCCCTCTTCCTTCATGCCACGGCTTTCGGGAGTTTGATCCTCTCTCGTTCTCTTCCCTGGCCGACCTCAGTGCCCGGCTTTCCTGAGGCCATTTGCTTTTGTATTCAATCTGCGCTCCTCCTTAAGGAAGCGCTCCCTGTTTCATCGTAAGCTCCTCTTAAACATCCGCCATTCCCACTGCGGGTAGCCCCGCATGGTTTATAAGAAGGGCCCGATACGGTCCAGGGCTTCCGGGGAAGAACAGCGAAATCAACTGGAACAAGGTGAAGAGGTGATATAGAGAGCGGTACTTCGCAGTACCCCTTTTTTTTAGAACCTTCTATTTTATTATTTTTCCTTGGTGTGGCTTTTTATCTTTTTAATTGTATTCTCTGTTAGAAGACTTACTCACCTCTCCCGTGGCCACGTATTTCCCATCGGGAGAGAAAGATAAAGCGGTCACAGTTTTCCTTAAGACGAGAGAAAAAAAACCTTCATTACTTCCTTTCTTCATAGAAACGAAGACCAGTAGAATACATCCACCAAAGGAAGTCCTCGACTTACAACCACAACTGAGCCCAACATTTCCATTGCTAAGCAAGGCAGTCCTGAGTTTTGCCCCATTTGGGGACCTTTCTTGCCACGGCTGTTAAGTGAATCACTGCAATTGTGTCATGAAGTGAATCCAGTTTCCCCCATTGACTTTGCTTGTCGGAAGGTCACAAATGGGGATCACATGACCACCGGGAGGGTCATAAGGACCAGTTGCCAAGTGCCTGAATTGTGATCACGTGACCATGGGGATGCTGCAATGGTCGTTAAGTGTGAATACCAGTCTTTTCAGTGCTGTTGTGACCTCAAACAGTCATTAAATAAATTGTTGTAAGTTATAATTGTTGTAAGTTGAGGACTACCTGGCTGACAACAAAACATGGTTGATATCTTGCTGTCCCAAACCTTTTTATCCAACAAATGCAAGGCCTTTTTCTACTACTGACTATTCCTCCGCCACTTGTAGGGAAATTACAAAAATGCTTCTTGCACCTCTTGTCCCCAATGAATTGACTGACCGTGGAGCAACTGAACCTCAGGTCCACGTAATGGTCAGGGCCCCTTCCCTGGGAAACTCTCAAAGCTTCAGGAAGGATTAAAAAAGAAAAATCAAACTTGTGGCTTACCTGGCCGTATTAAAGATGTGCCTTTGTTTGTTCTTCTGAGGATTGAAAATCACAACCACACACCTGAGGAAAAGGTGAAAATGTTGACATGGGAGACAATTTCCCACGATTCAAAAGGGGAGGAAAAAAATTTGAGGACCCCCTCATAGGCGAAAGCTCATCGGGTGGGGGGAGGGGGGGCAGTCCTGTTGCTTTGAAAAACACTAAATCAAAGACACTAAGAGGGAACCAGGCTGAGCCTTTGGCCCTGAGCAAGAAAAACCTGGAAACTCATTTAAATCGTATATCAGAACTGAATTAGGTCAGTTAAATTATGTTTTTTTTCCCTCAACAGTCAACACAAGCAATAAATGTGATTTGTGATATAAGACCCCTTTAAATGAAACTGTAATGAAAATTAAACACACTCCCTGCTTGCGCCCTAAAGGGAACTGGCATTTTTATTTAAAATGGGAGGAACTTAGAATAACTTTATTGTCACTTTAAATGCACACTAATCGGCATACATTATAATGAAATTTCATTGTATACAGCTCTCAAAGGGTCCCTCCACCACCAATATACACTAATAGAAATGCTTGCAAACGTCTTTGAGAGCTGCAGAAGAAAATGACAGACAGCATAGGAGCCTGTGGGATTACCAGGTGGGTTCTTGTGGGGATAAACTATGGAAAAATATTAAGGTTAATGGCGGATAACTTTCTTCTTCTGGCTATGAAACAGGGACCAAATAGCATGGAGAATCTAGTTCGGGTAATGAAAAGGAGCACGTAAGAACATCTAATACATTAGCTTAAATTAAAAGTCGCATCAACCCCTTGCCATTCCAGCATTCACGACTGTTAGAAAAATTTCACTGTCACCATGGTATAAACCATGGTTTAAGGGGCTAGGATACAAAGTCATTTCCTACCCCCGAAAATTTGAAAACAGATGTACAGTGCACACCCTCCACCCCGCCTGCCTTTAACCCTGTGTACTATTTTATTTGTGTAGTAATTTCTATGGTGCATCTGAGAGTTTCACTCCACGGTAGCAAAGGACTTACCCTGTTGGATATGCAACCTGTCCTGAGTTTGGGTCACAAGTTAAGCCATTGCTGGTTTGAGCGGTTATTCCCAACACTCGCTCAAGAGTCACCTGATAGAAAACAGACAAGGCATTGTGGCTCTTACCAAGCCTTCTTTTCCCCAGTGCACGAGGAACCTGACTAATGTTTCAATGTGAGCCCTCTTCGTGATTAATACATACAGGACTCTATAGGTTGGAAACATGCAGAAGAAGCCTACATCCCGCAGTGGATAGACAACAGCTAAAATGATGAATAGACAGACAGACAATAGAGGATGGATGGATAGCTGAATGATAGATGGTAGATAAATGAGATATGGATAGAGTGATATATATATATATATATAGATATATATATAGATATATAGATAGATATATAGATAGATAGATAGATAGATAGATAGATATACGTATACACACACACACACATATATACATATGTATGTGTGTATTTGTATGTGTGCAGGCGTAAATAGGCCCTTTCAATTTTTAGTTCCGGAGATCATAGGATGTCTGTTTCTTCTTTTACAAGTATACCTGGAACTCGTATTTTTTGAATAGTTTGTAATATATATCTATATATACCTATATGTATATCTATATATACACGCACACACATAGTTATATATATTATACATATATGCACATGCACACACACATACACACATATACATATATATACATCTATATATACGTACGTATATAGATATATAGATATATATTGCTACAGAACCCTTTTGTGGAACACGCCCCCTCTCTAGCCCCGCCCCGCCCCAGGCTCCTCCCCTTTCCACCGGCGGCTCCATGCTTCCTTGGCTTGGCCCCGCCCCTCACCGCCTCCTCCGGCCCTTGCTGCTTCGACCTTCGCCTCAGGCTGAGGAGAGGCGGCGACTCGAGGCTCGGATTCGTCGTTCGCGGGTAGAAGCAGCCGCCTCCTGCTCCTCCTCCGCCGCCGCCGGCCATCTTCCCTACCGAGCCGGACTGCTTGCCAACCGGCGGGTCTCTCCCCACTTCAGCCTCCGCCGTTCAGCGCCCCGTAACCGTCCCAAACAGCGCGCGGAAACGGTGCCGCGCCGCCGTTGGCCGGCGCCGCGTCAATCACGCCCGAAAGCGGCCAATGGGAGGCAGGTTTGGCGACCAACGGCCTTCCTCCAAAGTTGGAAGCCTTCCGCGCCGGGCGCGCGCCGCCGCTTTACTTTGGACCAATTAGGCGGCGCCGTCCCAGCCGCCGCCCTTTTACGCAGCTCCAAGGGTTCGAATCTGGCCGGATTCGCCGAAATCTCGAATATTTCCTTTACTTTTTTTTTTTTTTTGTCTTTCTTCAAGTTTTCCACTTGCCGGCCAACTCCATTAAATCCCAGTTGATCCATTAAAATGAGCAACGGGGTGCATTTAATACAGTGTTTTTTGAACTGGCCCACTTTAAGATGTTGGCTGGGGAATTCTGGGGGCTTAAAAGCTGCTGTCATCTGCAAGTTTGCGCATAATATATCTATATATCTTTTATCTGTCTATATCGGAGGTCTCCAAACTTGGCAACTTTAAGACTTGTGGACTTCAACTCCCAGAATTCTTTGGGCTGGTCTTAAAGTTGCCAAGTTTGGGGACCCTTGATCTATATCTATCCATCGAACTAGAATTAGAATTAGAAGAACTTTATTGACATTGTACAAGTACAACGAAACTGTGAATGCACCCGAGCAACTGTTCGCAATACAATAAAACCAAAGCACTTAAAAATGAAGATAAGAAAAATAAAGTACCCACGTCTCCATATATTAACTAACTATATATTTTGTCTGTATCATCACATCTTTCTCTCTCTCATCTATGTCTGCCTATGGCGTTTATTCTAATCTAATCTAATCTAATTAATCTAATCTATACAATATATATAAAAGCGAGTGGAGCTCCTCTTCCCTTTTCCTATCTCTATGGCCAGCACTGTCGGCCTCCGCCCGGCGGGCCAGGGCGTCACCTGCCCGCTCTGCGCAGGCGCAGAGAGGGGGCGTGGCGGCGCGGGAGGTGTGGCGCGCGTGACGTCATCAGTCAACAAACGAGCTGGAAGCTCCCCGGAGGTGCCGCCGCCGCCGCGATGACCAAGTACTGCCGGGCGCCGCGATGCTCCAACTCGGCCGGGCAGCCGCGGCGAGACCAGCGGCGGCTCAGCTTCTACAAGTCAGCCTCCTTCCGGGAAGGGAGGGAGGGGGGGGCTGGGGGAGGTCTGCCTGGGATGCCCCCTCCGGGTCCACCCGCCTCGTGCCAGGGATCGGGGCTGGGGGGAGGGGGAGGGGGGGAGGAAGCCCCCCTCCCCACCTTAGCCTGACCCCCCCTTCCTCCCCAGGCGGGATTCCCCGGACTACAACTCCCAGGGAGCGTGGAGGGATGGGCTTTGTAGTCCGGCCCAGCTTGGGGGGGGGCGTGGGACTGTGGGGGCAGGAAACCCCCTCTAGGAGCGGGGCAAGGGACCTCCTGGGAGGGATAAAACCCTTCCTTCAGTGGGGCAGGAGACCCCTCTGGTTGGCCTTTTGGGGTCCCAGGGCTGCTCTTAATGGGGAAGGGACCAACAGACCTTTGGGAGTCTCTGGCTGTTGCTTCCTATGGGAAAGGGTTATCTAAGGAAGAGCCCACTCTTCATTCTACCCCACCTGGAAGGAGAGAGGGGGTCTCTGGGGCTGAATGGGGACTTGAATCTGGGGTTCGTGGGCAGCCCCATTAATGGGTGTGGCGTGGTGAAGGTAGAAGCCTAAAAAAAAACAGGAGACAGTGAATTCTAGTTCCGTCTTGGGCACAAAAGCAGCTGGGTGGCTTTGGGCTAGCTTGTCCTACCTCACAGGGTTGTCATAGTGGGGAAGATAGGAGGAGGAGGAGAACTCCGTCTTGAGTTATTTGTAAAAAAACAATAAAGGCAGGATATCAAGAAATCTAGGTTGCCCGGATCCGCTTTGGGCTTTTCAGAAATGCGGGAAACATGGAGTAGATTTTCAGAAAGTAACGTTGACTTGTGCTGAGCTCGTGGATGTGTCGTTGTGGACCTCTGGGCAAAAAGGAGAAGCAGTTGGTAGTTGGTTTCTTCCACAAAACTGTGGTTTTTTTGGTCCGGCAAATGCAACAAACTCAACTCTCTGACTTTCGTAACACAAACCCGGAAAACAGACTCCATGTATTATTATTATTATACACAAAAAATGACGGTGTACACAGCAAACGAGATGACTATGCTGGGTTTCGTATTATTATTATTATTATTTAGAAAACTTCTAAAAAGCAAACTGAGTGGCGGTAACACCATCAAGGCTAAAAATACCTGGGCCATACCCGTCATCAATCCCTGCTGGGATGGTAAACTGGACACAGGCAGAGCTGGACAGCCTAGATAGGTAAATGAGAAAACTGATGACCATACACTATGCGCTGCACCCACGTAGTGACATCGACAGGCTATATTTGCCCGGAAAAGCAGGCAGCAGAGGACTTTGGCAAGTGAAGCAGAGAGTCGAAGAAGAGAAGCACGCTCTGGCAGATTATGTGAAAGACAGTGTTGAACCAGCTTTGATGGAGGTCAACAAGAGGAAGCTGCTCAAAGTGCAGCAAACCAAGGATCAATACGGGAACACAGCAATGCAAATTTGGGCTGACAGCTAGCGTAACAAAGCACTTCCTGGACAGTTCCTTGAAAAGATGCAAGGAAAAATAGATAAAAGACCTGGTTATGGCTGACCGATGGAACGCTGAAGAAAGAGACAGAAGGCCTGATTCTTGCAGCCCAAAAACAAGCCATCAGAATGAATGCAATCAAAGCCAGAATAGGAAAATCTGCTGATGACCCCAAATGCAGACTCTGCAAAGAAGCGGACGAAACCATCCATCACATATTGAGCTGTTGTAAGACAATCCTCAGACTGACTACAAGCAACGTCACAACACAGTCGCTCAGATGGTCCACTGGAACTTGTGTTACAACTACCATCTTCCTGTAGCGAAGAAGTGGTGGGATCATAAGCCTGAAAAGGTGGTCGAAAATGATCATGCAAAACTACTGTGGGACTTCCGAATACAGAGTGACAAAGTTTTGGAACACAACACCCCGGATATCACGATTGTGGAAAAGGAAAAAGTGTGGATTGTCGACATTGCCATACCTGGTGACAGCAGAATCGACGAGAAACAACTTGAAAAATATCAAATATCAGGACTTGAGAATCGAACTGCAGAGACTCTGGCATAAACCAGTGCAGGCGGTTCCAGTGGTACTGGGCACACTGGGTGCTGCTGTGCCAAAAGACCTAGGCAAGCACTTGAAAACAATTGGCGCTAACAAAATCACCCTTGGTCAGCTGGAGAAGGCCACCTTACTGGGATCTGCTTGCATAATCCGCCTATACATCACGCAGTCCTAAACGCTTGGGAAGGGTTTGACTAGTGATTTGTGATATAAAACCCAGCATAGTTATCTCGTTTGCTGTGTACACTTGTTTTTTGTGAATAATATAATAATAATAATGATGATGATAATAATAATAATACTTTATTGTCATTGTACATATATACACAATATACACATAAGGTTGTGACTTGGGAATTTCTCTGATAACGCCAGACTGGCTAGTAGGAACAGGCTTGTCCTTCCAGCAAATTCGATTTTAATAGTCTATTAAAGCAACATCACTCTTGAGACTGAGATGGGCAGCATATACATTTAATAAATAGCACTCTTTTCTCTGAAATAAGCCACAGTGTGTTTTAAGGGGCCAAATTATTTAGCATTTCAAAACAGGCAGAGCTTTAACTGCATATCGTAGCTGCCATCTTGACTTCTTTGACCCCTCTTGTACCTGAAGCTTTACAAAGAACTAGCAGGGTACCTGTGCTTCACTACGAATCTATGTGGTTGGGCCTAGTTTTTGGGGAGGAAAATAAGAGCGGGGGAATCCTGCCTCTGCCTTCCACCATCCGTCGGTATTCATCTGGTTAGCATCCTCTCAGCGTGTGTGAGAGTTGAGGGCTGTTTGGACACTGAAGCAGTATTTGCTGTGTGAGCAAGGAGGAGACAGCAAGGAGCCTGGACGTGGCTTAGCTCAACTGTTCTGTACTAAAGCTGCTTGGTGCTGCTGTGAAACTAAAACTGAAATTCCTCTCCTCTGCTTGTGTTTTGCCTGTGGAAGAGATTTCTTTCCAGGTGGGGAGGGGGAGTAGAAACTCCTTAGCATCAGAG